CTGATCATAATGTGGCTATGCCCTATGCTCAGTTTGATGACTGAAATCAAGATATTGGTCATAGTATGTTTTTATTGGGACTTTGTGATCCTGTTTCCAAGCTCACATATTTGCTACAGAATTCAGCTCCATGACATAGTAATACTGAGGTCTCAACTTTGCTGGGTGTCTGCTGGAGGAGTGGTCTTCACTCCTGCAGGTGGGTTCACCTATTCTTTGCCATGTGGCCCTGCTCGTGTGCAAAGCCAGGGAAAGGGACTCTATCTCACTGAGTCCTTCTGATATGGAGAACTTACTTTTCCAGGAAGAGCTCAAGGCCCTTTAGGAATCATTTGATTGGACCAAATTGTGCCCTTCAAGAATAATCTTGCATTGTTAATGTCAACTGACTGGCATTTTAGTGTGTCAGCAAACTTCCTTTTCTAGTTATACTTGTTATAGGGAATCTAATCCAAGGTAATCAGTCTTACATGCAGAGAGAGACAGACAGAGACAGACATAGAATTGCATGGGCTAGTATGTCAGGGATTTGGGAGATTACCTTAGAATTTGAGTTTGCTCAAATGACTGGTGAATTGCAGGTACACCAGGAAAGCCATAATAATCCTGAAGTATTAAGTCAAGACTTAGCTAGAATTTTAATGTTATAAATTTTATTATGATCTTTTGCCAAAGCTCATTTTCTGTGTTTTGGAGAATTGCATATATATTTTTTATAATATTTTTTATTTCCTGAAAAATATTTTTTATTTCCTGAAACTATGTCATTTCTCCTTCATTTTACTTCTTCCTGCTCCTACCATGCACACCCCCACTCTCTCTAATTCAAAGCCTTATTTTATTTAATTGCTGTTGTACGCACATGCATGCGCACACACACATACCTAAATACACAAACGCAAGCTGCTCAATCCATATACCATTACATATATATACACTCTCAGGATTGACCACTGGTGTTGGATAACCAGCTGAGGGACTCTTCCTTGGGAAAGACTGTTTCTCTCATTCTCAGCATTTGCCAGCTTCCAGTAGTTCTTTGGCGTTAAGGTTCCATGAACTTTTCCATGAACTTTAACTTTGGGGCTAGCATGTCCAGTGGTGTTATCATCGTTTAGGCAACCAGGCTGATGAGGCTTCATGGGTGTAGTCTTGAAAACTTTCTGTTTCCCTGGCTTTTAACAATTTTTTCACACCCCCCTTTAGTAATAACAGGAATTGTGTTGTAAATGTGTCTGCTGGGAGTTGGCATCACACAGTCTCTTGTTTTTCAGCATTTTGATCATCAGCTATGTTTTCATAATGGTCTCTGTTGTAAAGGAAAGTTCCTTTAATGGGGGATAAGAACACTCATTGGTGGGCATAAGGATAAATATTTAGAGTGTTTTCAGAGCTTATACTGGTTTAGTAAAATAGCTATTGTAGGTTCGTTCACTCCAAGATTCATGGTGACAGTATCCCTGTGTAGTTGGCTGGGTTTCTAGTAACACGCAATGTTTCCCTCTTGCTGAGCTGGCCTTATGTACAATGAAGGTATATGTGTCTTTATTGTACCCCTAGGATTATTTGCCATGCTGGTTGATAGGTATCAACGATTTGTTGCTTCTTCCCTTTGGGAGCTTGCATGGCTTCTTCTAGTACCATGATAGTTATTCTCAGGGAGGAGGCTTTCAGGCAAGAGCCAGCTTAGGTCCTCTAAGTCCTATGTCCAAAGTTCATGATGTCTTCAGCAATAGGTTCTTACCTTCCACCTCTGGGAGATAACAAAGTACAACAGCAATGGCCCTTAATGTTTTGGGGGTCTCTTGGACAACCTTTACCAAGAGCTAAAAAGGGGGATTCTCATGCCTGGTGTTGGTTTTTTTTTTGATGGATAATCTGTGGCTTTTGTGGAGAGCATTATCAGGCCAGAAGGGACATTTTCATTTAAACTATATGTGTATATGTGTTGCAAATTATTTGAAGAAGAGAAATGGTTCCTTCAACATTTTTAGCCAGGTCCATTTTGTAGAAGTGGCATCCTGTGTGTCAATAAGAAATTGGAAGCAAGGGTTAAACACTTACCTACAGACCACACCCTCCTTAGTCTCATCTCTGTCTTTTTAATAGTAAGTTAGTTTTTCTGGGTGTCATCTTCCTGATGAGGAATGGGAGCTTGGAAGCATAAGAGGAGAGTTGTCAGCCATAGCTTGGGTGGAATAAAAGTGAATGCCCTTGGAGTATCTTTCCCAATACTGAGATACTGTTCTTAGATCATTTTATGCTTAATTAATTTCCTTAATGCCATAGAAAGTCAGAGCTGAAATGGATCTTACAGAAGTGCCTAGTCTTTCACTCCCCTTGGGGAGGAGGAGGTAATGGCACCTGACACTTCTGTAAATCAGTAGCTTAATGGACATCTAAATGGCTTTATATAAAACATTGGAGGTTTTCCCCTAGCTTTCTTTTGACAGGGTCTAGCTATGTAGCTCAGGCTGGCCTTGAACTCATTATCCTCATTCCTCAGCCTTTTGAGTGTTGAGATTATAGAAGTGTACCACCATGCCTAGCTCAGTTTGGTTTTTAAATGTCCAGTTCAGTGACTCAGCATTTCCCCAGCATAACAGATTAGAGAAAGATAACATATTTATATCAGTGGCAAGAGCTAGACTCCAGCAGAAATCTGCAGCAGTCATCTTAAACAGAGAGTGGTAGACATCCCCCTAACACCACCCTCTATACTTACCACAAGGGAACATGCTAACATCTGGGTATGGTAATGAGGGCAGAGTGTGTGAAGTTTTCATCAACCCCTGGGAGATTCTTTTATGTTCTGATTGAGAATCTTAGACCGTTATGGTTTTTTGTTGTTGTTGTTTGTTTGTTTTTTGTTTATTTTTCTGTGTATCACTTTCTTTCTGTCATTGAACTACCCTCCTCCATATCTCATTATCTCTTCATAGAATCTTCTAGTCCTTGAGTAGTCATCGACTCTGTTGCAGCAACTCAGTCCCAGTTTCTCTTGTGCCAGGCAGCTTGCTTGTGACATCCCAGTTTGCTCCCTAACTCCTTGGTGTGCAGGGACACCTTACTTCCCAGAGATCTGCTGAGGGCACAGTTCAAGTCTTCCTTCAGTCCAGCTGGGACTTGCTGTGCTGTGATTTCTCCCTTGCTGGGAGGTCTATGGATGTTCTTTTAACTTCTTGTCCGTGGTGGAGTCCAGTTCACTCAGCCATTGCCAATGCTGTCAGATCCTCACTCTTGTCACCTTCCTTTTGGTCAGTTCTCTGTTTCAACTTCAAATGTGACAATTAAAACTGAACCCAGGGTGGTGCTTGTTGGTCACATGCTTCTGTCTCATGCATCATTGACATTCTACATTCTGACAAGTCAACTTCATGAGATCCTGCAGGACTGGCAAACATTTTAATTTAGTGTGGGGTATTGAGATGGCTCAGCAGGTAAAGCACTCACTGCCAGATCTCACTACATAAACTCAATCCCCAGGACATGTGGAAAAAGGAGAGAACCAACTTCTGTAAGATGTTATTTGATGTTATTTGACCTACACACACACACACACACACACACACACACACACACACACACACAGAAAGAGAGAGAGAGAATTAATTTATTTTAATTTATTACATATTTATTTATTACATTTTTAAGCAAATCGAGTTATTTTCATTCACTGATTTGGAATTCTTGTTATCTTCAACAGCAAATATGTTAAATCTACTGTGGATAGGGCAGAACATTAGATTCTGAAGCACTGATATTTCCAAGATAGGATTTATAATTTCATTGTGTTACAAGGATTAATATAAGCATTTCACCAGTATTTAGTTTGTAAGCTTAATATAAGAAACACATGGCTGGCATTTTGTTTGAAAGCCATGAACTTCCACATCGACAACCAAGGGCAGAAGGGCTACATGGGGTTAATCTTAGAAGAATGGAGGTGCTTACTTGGGACAGAAGGCAAGAGCTAAAGGGCCCTTGAGATAGAATACAACCCTGTGCAGGCAAACTTTAAGTCTTTCAGTGTGTATACTTGGCTTTGTTTTCAGAGAAAAACAGATCTCATACATAAAATTCCAGTCTGTGGGATTATCAAATGGCAGTCAAACATGTTTTTACAAGTTCTGAACAAGTCTTATTTGGAGTCTTAGTATGCATGCAAACAGCTTCCTTAGTAACCTGAAGTCCCTCATATTTACATAAAACTATCCTTTTGAAGTCTGTGGCTTATGAGTTAAGTCTTCTCTTCAGTAGTCAGTTTGAGAAAAGGCCAGGGACACTTGCATTTTCCCAGTCACCATCAGCAGAAGGGCCTAGTGGTTCTGAGATCTCCTTCACCTGGTCCCCCAGTCAAGGAACACTTGTTCCTTGATGGTGGTTTTGGCACTGTGCACACACAGGTATTCAGCAAACAAACCCATCATAAGTGGAATTCACAGTTACTGAGCATGTGCCTTAAGCCCTTTACACATATAATTTTCATTAGTGGTAGAAATTCTCCAACAAATAGAGTCTGTGTCTTTCAAGGGCACTGGAGAATGGAGGTGGAGGTGTTCAGACATTGTCTACAGTCACACAGGTTTTGAGTCAGAGTTGACTTTCACGCCTGGCAGTGTGGCTAGAGCCTGTTGTCCACTGCCACAGAGCACAGGGCAGGAGTGTGGTAAGACTCATGCAAGTCCAGATCTGGGGGCTTCCTAAATAACACACTTTGTTCTATGGGGCTGGGACAGTAGATCAATGGGTAAAGTGCTTGCACTACAAGTCTAAGGGTCTGAGTTCACATCCCTAGAATCCACACAAAAGGCAGGTGACCGCACTGGAGAGACAGGGACAGTTCTGCCCCTGGTGCTCAATTTCCACAACCTAATCTAATCAGTGATCTCCAGGTCTGGGAGAGACCCTGACTCAAAGAACAAGTTGGAAAATATTTGAGACCATTAGAAGTGAGTGTGGTAAACACTAATTATGATTTTTCTTTCCTTTCTCCACAGCTTCATGGTTTTCTCCAAATGAAAAGATCCTCATTGTTATTTTTCCGATTTTGGCTATACTACTTTTCTGGGGAAAGTTCGGTATTTTAAGTAAGTATTCGAATGTACTTTTTCATTTATGCTTTAGTGACACAATGGTTTTTTCTAGGGCATTACTGGTGGGATAATCTGTCTCACTAGTCTGTATTGGGAAAAGTGTTATGATGGTAATTAAGAGTAACCAATGTACATGTAGTTTTTAAAAAGCATATACTGTCCCCCATATTTTGCTACAGCTCATACTTAAGTTTAAGGTGTTTAGTTATAAGTGGTATTTTGAGATCTCTGTGGGTAGAAATGTTAGTAACAACACCTTAACTCCTGTGAAATGGTTATTTACAAATGTTTCATTTGGTAAACAGATGATCATAGAGACAGAATCCTATGCTCTGGGGCCCTGGGATGCTCTGCCTCATATCCCCAGTTTAAGCTTGTCTGTGGGCAAAGGCCTGTCTGTGCCTGTTGTCCAGCTCTGCAGCCCCCGGTGGAAGGAGTTTTTGCTTTGGCAGCCATGTAACCAAGTCTCTGAAGGACAGACCTGATGCTGGGTCTCATTTGCCTCAGTTGTATAGAATTGTCATCCCAGGGTAATCTGTTATATGCATTCTAGTTAAGGCTTATACTCAATAGTATCTACATACCAGCCTGTTCCACCAGGAACATGTCAATCTGTCCTCAGTATTTCCATACCAATATAGTAAGAGAAATTGACTAATTTATGAAGTTCTGAGGTGACAGACTAAACTTTCAAACTTGTAAATGTAAGATCTAACCTCCCACCCCCGAGCCCCTTGGCATAGCAACTGAAGACCAGGAAACACCTCTTCAGGTAAGGAGGAAATGGTGTGTGCTAAATTTGCTCGCCAGCCTTTAGAGAGGTGGACACTAGGGAGTCCCTGCAGGGGATGCCTGCTGGATAGTTCCCTGAAGTTCTTCCCTAGGAAGGGTGAAGCTGTGTGTGTCCTCAGTGAGACCCTCAGTGAGATGGAGGAATAGAAGAGATGTGATTGGCGGTTTATTTGAAGAGCTTTGCCCAGTGCACGGGGCTCTGGAAATGCTTAGTGACTTCAGAAATGTCCCCGGGTTGTGTCTAAGTGGGAAAAGAGGAGAACAAGGGCTGACATTGTAGCCCTTACCTCTAAGACAGTGAAGTGATGCTGGAAGTTATCTCAGAATTCCAGAAAGCCCCTTGTGTTAAGGAAGGCGCTGATACAGCCTCAGGCCCTGCCCATAATCACCGGCCTTAAGGAAAGCTTTCAGCCACATTGGCAGAGCCAGGCTTTCAGGGCTGAGTCACACAATCCATGCAGGAAACAGTCTTTTAAGGATCAGACAGTGATTTCATAGCAGTGCTGTTGAACTTAAGTTGACAGAAGTTTGCTGGTTATGACATTATCATTAGCAACAGCATTTTCAGTGGAATGGATCAGAAATAAATCTGTTTATGATCAGCCATATTTATACAGAATAAGACTAATTTTTTTTTGGACTATGAAATACATTATATAAGAAGTTACCAGGAAAATAAGTCATCTGCTGGCTGTATATCTAGGAACAAGGGTTGTTTCAGGTTTTGTTTGTTGTTTGGTTTTTGATTCTAGTAACCTTCCAGCTTCTCTCTCTCTGTCTCTCTCTCTCTCTCTCTCTCTCTCTCTCTCTCTCTCTCTGTCTCTCTCTTGCTCTTTCTGTTTATCTCCTATAAAAGGAAACTGTAACTGTGCTCATACAGCTTATGTATTTGTACATCCTTGTGTCCCAGGTGCCACCAGAATGTTGCCATGGCTGCTTGTGCTCTCCTCTTATGGCTGTATCATGTTGTATTGAACTTTCATCTTACTGGGTATTAAGAGATATTATGAAACTCTGATGAATGTGTATGAGCTTTTGGGTGTCAGTGATATTTTACACCTATAGATAAACTCTACCAACACATGTTCCAGACCCACCTTTTGAATTCCTGCTACCACTGACGAGAATGTCCACCTGTCCACCGTTCTCAGGGTCCTGACAGAGTTATTGTTCTAAAACCCTTCGCTAATTTGATGTGTTGTACTAGTGATTTTGGACATTCTTGTTAATGTTCCTATTATACCAGTTGCATTTTTAAAGAGTTCATTATGAAGCTAAAAAATGTATAAGGGAAATATTTGATTTTGGGCCATCTTTAAAAAGGGAGGAGCCTGAGGAAGAGCAATAGTGGGCATGTGGAAGAAGAACCTTTGTATTTGACTCACTCAGACATGCCTCACACTTAAAGCTGAGTTATTACAATAGCGGCTGAATATTTTGCGCGACTCTTGCTCTGAGGAGCCACCACTCACTGTGCCAAGTGCTCTCCACCATTTATTTCCCACAGGGACTCTGCCAGTCCCGTGACTATTGTTGTTCCTATTTTGAAGATAAGAGGCAGGCAGTTTGTCCACAGTCACCCAGCCATTTCCTGGCAATCCTGGATTTGGACTATTAACCATCAAACTGTCTGCCTGTCTTGAATTTATCTGCAGGAAGAGTGGATGGGTGTGTATCTAGTGTACCACTTTGAGCCTATGAGACTGTTAGTAGTAGAATAGAATGTTGGTTTCATGAGTTGATTATTTTCTCCACCAGTACGTACTGGCAGGGTGTCTGGTGACTGCTGGGCACTGACCTAAAGGTTTGAGGTATGGAAGTGAGTGTTCATTCCTGATGGCTATGAGACCACCTCATGTCTATCACTGCAGTCAAGATAGTCCAACTGCCTATCTTGTACTTAGCCTCATTCACTCAATGAGTCACTTTCACCCTGGAAAAGGTTCCTTGGTTCTAACCTGCTATCTCATCTGTGAGATCATACACCAATGATAACACAGACCCAAGAGTTTTCCTTTCTGATTTTCTAGTTCTTTTTAACTTTCCACCCTGTACTTGACCTCAGGACATTTCTCTCAGTGGTCTCTCTGGCTCTGCATGTGAATCTGTTGTGCTTCGAGAAGAAACCTAAACCTTTAATGACAGTTCCTTTACAGAAAGCTGTGTCTTGAACCACAGCTCAGGACAACTGTGGCCTTTCCTTGGTGATGGAGTGTGACCTGAGAGTTCTAACCCTTTCCTTCACACATTGCTTTTGGTCACAGCAGTAGATACCTTAAGATCCCTTATCTTGTATCAGCTCAGTCATTCACACTGTTGACAGGCTCCTGCCTGATTTTCAGGGTTCTCCATCTACACAGAGGTAGCATGAGTTCTTTCCTACATTTAGCTGGCTGATAGGTCCTTTCAAGTGCTGCGCATAGTATTGTAGTTCTTTCAGGCTTATATAAAGAGCTGGCTGTTGTCCACAGTTCTTTGTCACAGGCTTATCTGCTCTTCGTTTTCCTTTCCTTTTAACCCTTGTCCTACACAGGTGGTCCTTTGCTTTGCACTCAGCGGCATGGCCATGAACCTGACCATGGAAGCTGAGCTCTGCGAAACAGTCTTGATAATAGGCAGGAAAATTACTATCACACAGTGGCCTTCAAAATATGTTGTCAAAACAAGCTGGGTTGGTGGTGCCGTCCTGTGTTCCTGGCACTATACAGACCAAGTTCCAGGCAAAACAGAGCTACATAGCAAGAACCTGTCTTATGCAAAAATCTTTCACAATATAAAAACTTTCCTAGTTTTTGGAAAATTAAAATATCAATGAAGTTAATAATTACTGCATGGAGAGTCAGACTATTTAAAATTCAGTATTTAAAGTATTGAGGTTTGAAAGATTTTGGTTTTGCCCTATAACTTTGGGAACAGAGGAAGCATCCCCTGGTAAAAACTCAGGCTGTCTTTTTTAGTGCGTATCAGCTTGCTTGCTACATTTCATTTTCATTCGTTCAATGAAACATCTCAGCGTTCTGTGGTGAACTTTTTATTTGATATTTCTGTTGTTGTTTGTTTAGCAGAGTCACATCCTAAGGGATGTCCTCGCTGTCACATGGTTCATGTCAGTGAGTTCACCTTCCCTGAGCTGCTGGGCTATCTCTTGAGCTGCCTCCATTGTGGTCATGTTGCCATCCCCACAGTGGCTCTTCTGGTACTTTGCTATGGTCTGAATTTCACAGCCAGCCAGCATCCACACTTGTTATTTCCTGGCTCTCTCATCTCATCTCTCTTGCCCAGTTTTTTTTTTTTTTTTTTTTTTTTTTTTTTGTTTTTTTTTTTTTTTTTTTTGGGCAGGGGGGGTAATGTATTATAGAGTGTCCTGTAGGTTTATCACTGGGAGATGAGGAGTTATAACTACACACATGGCCGTCTGTGCATTAACTGAAGAATAAGCATGCAATCAGTGACTGTCACTCACAGTCTTCAATGGTTGTGACATGATGACACTTCTGCTATTTATATTGTATTGTGATTTTTGGATTAAAGACAGCATGAAGCATACTTTGTGAAGTACTCACTTGGTAATGAAACTTCCAACTGTATTTGGAGGACTTGAGTTATACAAGTAAACAATGGAATCCATACATGTCAGAACTGTATAAAGTCAGGGCTTCTGAGATTTATTTTTGTGTATTCTAGACAGGCTTAATTTCTTTTTCTTTCTTGTCCCTACTTAATATTGCCCCATAGATATTTTGATTATCACTTGGTAGTATTTGAGAAAATGTTTCTATGAAGATCATTGTTGGGAAACTCAAAGAAAACAGTTGTTCATCACAAGAGCCTTGAGGTCTCACTAAGTCCTTAGAGCCTAGCTTATGCCAGTGGCAAGGCCTTGGAAGCACATGTAAAAGAAGTGATGGGATAGAGATTTTTCTCAGTGAATAGGAAAAATAATTCTGAAGAAATGAGGACAAACACTAAATCGAAGTGGAGAGTTCTACCCAAGCAAGAAAACAAAGTATCATTCTGATAAAAATTATTACCAAAAAATTCATCTGTGGCCAGGTTTGTGGCCCTAATCATAAATACCAAGTTTAATTTCATTCAACAGTGTTGGACTTAATCCTTTCCCTATAGTGCTCGTATGATCCCTAAGCCGTAGAGTCATTCACTGACTTTACTGTAAGAGGAACTGGGCCAAGCTGTAGCATAGCATTTAACTCTTATAGGAATGTAATCACCTTTATGCTTTCAAATTCCTTTATGCTTTCAAAATCCAGACATCACTGATCTTGAACCAGAGTAATTTGTCATCAGTAGATGTCTGCTAGACATTCCCCTCTGTTGTGTTCAAATATTTGCCATAAAAAAAGCTTTTATTTTCCTCTAGGTCCTACTGACAGGGAGTATGATCTTTAGTAGTATTCATCTTGATAAACTTATTTCATCAGAGAAGTTGGCCGGAATATGGGATCTATTATGGTCAACTTGCTCACTCATGGCAAGTAAACACTTTATACATGGCAGTTCATTTTTCTCCAGTACCATTTCTACAAGCCTTCATCCGTGTGTGTGTTTAAAAAATGAAATTTTACTTTCATTTTTTAAAGTTATCATATGTACTCGATCAAGTTATAGTGGAAATAATATTAGTTTACAGCCCAGTGGATGCTAAAGGATTCTAAATTACTTTGCCAGAGTTATCAGAAAAACAAAAACAACAACAAAAAAAAAACACTATAATAATTAAATTGATGGTTTCTTTCTCTTCCTTTATCATTTACTCTTTATCTCGGTAATCTACCTCCTGTCTCTTCACCATAGTCACACAGCTAGGGGCTGTCCAAATGTCATGTCTTTTGAGCAAACATTTGGGTTTTTCTGGGTAGTGTACAGTCTGTGTGTGCCTTTGTGGGTGTTCTGTATCTCATTTTTAGAGTCTCGTAAAAGTTTAACATGATAGATTTTATTTTTAAGCCTAAATTGACTTGATTATTATGCTGTTTTATCAGCCACAAGTCAGATGCCATCTTAATATGTGCTCTGTGTCAGTGGCAGAGACCAGGAAAAAAGTGTCTGCTCTTAATAGACCCTCATTCAGGTCACTGGAAGAGCATACAGATTTCTTTGTTCACTGGAAGGTTTAGAACACAAGAAACTGAGACTAGATCTCTGCCTTTCATGGGTTGGTTGGGTTGGAATTACTCAATTCTCGTCAAATACAGCAATCTGCTATTTGTTCCTAGACATGGACTAATAAAAGGATATGTTACAGAGTACACACATATAGCAAAAAAAATTGTGAATGAAGCTACCTAATGGGAGATGTAGCCTGATAGAGTTAATTGTTTTATATTATATATGATGTTAAATTATACAGTATACATTTGAATTAGAAGAATACCTAATGTTATGATTAATACTGTCACATTGTGCCAGGCAAAGTGGTGCTCTCCTGGAGTATCACCATTTGGTATGGTTTCTCCTGATACTTAGTTTTCTTGTATCTGGTGACAGTAATGTTATAAACTTTTCATTAAAAATATAAATTCTGGACAGGTCATGATAGCACACATTTTAATCCCAAAGTGAGTTCCAGGCCATCTAGAGCTATATGGTGAGACTCTGTCACCAGAAACAAAACAAAACAAAACAAAACCAAAAAACGTGTTAAGTGCTATTATTTCTTATGTACTTTAAGTATTGGTTTCAGTAGTTTTAGCTGGGGGGGGGGGGTCTTAAAAAGCAGGCACATTATTAAAATCACATGGATTATTCTGCTAAGTAACCAAAATAATACTAGGAAGTTTGATAAAAAGCCTGCAGTTAAAAATAAATTAACCTGAGTGTAGTGGCGTACACCTTTAATCTTAGCTTTCAAGAGGCAGAGACAGGTGGATCTTAGTAATGTGAGGCCATCTTGGTCTATAAGGAGATTTCCAGGACAGCCACAGCTACATAGAAGCTGTGTCTCAAAAAAAGAAAAAAAAATACCTTAAAATTATTTTTATCTGAAATGTTTTGGAAATTGCTTTCAACAAGAAGAAATCACCAGCAAAAACCCTTGAATCGTTGGGTTCTGTGGAATCTCGTCACTGAAAACACTGATAACTGGGTCAACCAGGTACCTTCTCGCCCTGTTGTGGGGCCTGTCTGAATGTGGCCATTGTGAGCAAAGGATATAAGCCAGAAGAGATTTCCTCTGAGCATTTCCTCAAGAAAACACAGATGTCCTCCCATTGGCTGAAATTATTTAAGACCCAGTAATGTATTTGCTACAATAACTGTTTAAGGAAAACAAACAAACAAACAAAAATATGTAGCCTGGAAAATAGTAGTTGAACCAATCACCAAGAACTAAGGTTACCAACACATAGATTACTTAAAAGAGCTTTTGATGTAATATTTTGTGGTGTTATATTTTTATTGCTGTTGTTGGCATTATTTTCCTTTTGGCAGCTCTGCCTGCTAAGCCTGAAAGGGCTGGAGTTGATGTGTTGTCTAAACTCTTACTTTTAATGGCTCTTTTTTTGTAGTAAACCTAGGAGTCTCTAATGAATGCTTGATTGATTGTGTGGCCCATTTGAAACAGCTTTTATGTTGCAACTTCTGCAGAGTTTTCATACCCTGTTTAGGTAGCAGTATATATGGGCTTAAACGGAAAGTGAGATGTATGCCTTGAGAAGCATGTGTGTCTGCTTTCCTGAAATAGGGCTTTGTCTTTTGTGACCCAAACACTCAGTGTCTTTCTAGCTGGTATTTGAGATCTGAAAGTAGGGAAGCTGTGAAAACTCCTCCTCCTGAGGAGGCAGGGGTAGGACTGGTTCCACAGCTGAATAGAGGCAACCAGCTACACCCAAGCTCAGGGACTCCGGTTCCTAAGAGTGGCAGTTACTCAGCTCTGTGGACTATCGTTGCTTTGTGAGCTATCACTTTTCCCCCTGAAGTGACTAGTACTGAGATTGTAATCAAAAGAATGGGTAAGGAAGCTATCCTACTTAGCTTTAACTGTCTGTCAGCTTGACACCCAGCTTAGAGTCATCTGAGAAGGGACAATTGAAGGATTGCCCAGGTCAGATTGGCCTGTGCTGAACTGTCCTGATTGATAATTCATATGGGAGGCCGAGCCCACTGCGGGCAGTACTATTCTCTGGTTCTGGACTGTATGAGAAATCTAGCTAAGCATGAGCCAGCAAGCAGTGCTCCTCGGTGGTTTCTGCTGGAGTTCCTGTCCTCATGTCCCTCAATGATAGACTAACCAGTACACTTAAATAAGCCCTTTCCTCTCCTAAGGTGTATTTGGAAAGCGTTTCATCACAACAGAAAGAAAGATGCTAGAACTGTAGAGCAGTAAATCCTCAGGTGTCTTCATGATAGATTTTTATTATGGTCACTAAGTACTTTCCCAATTTTGTTATGTTTAATCTGCTCCTCATTTCAGTAGAAGAAAATTAAAAGCAAATACAACATTTAAAATAATTCCCCACTGTATTAGTTCCTTTTCTGTTGCTGTGATAAAATATCATGACCAAAAGCAATTTAAAGGCAAGATGGTTCTGAAGGGAAAGTCCATAATGGCAGAAACACATGGCAGTCATGAAGCAGAGATCGTATCTTCAGCATCAGACACAAAGCAGAGAGAGAGAGCTGGGAGTGGGGAGAGTTTACAGTCTCCTAAAGCCTGCTTTTAGTGACCTGTTACCTCCAGCAAAGCTCCATGCCCTAAACATTTCATTACCTCCCCCAAATAGCACCACCAAGGGTTCGTGTATGAGCCTAAGAGGGGCACTTCTCATTCAAACCAGCACAGCCCTCTGGGGGCCAACAAGCAGGACATCAGTGTGTAGGTGGCACCAGAAGCATCCCAGGCTCACATCTTGCAGCTCTCTTATCTGATTTCAGGTGACCTTTCATGGTCGCTCTCTCTCTTTCTCTTTTTCTCTCCCCCTTTTCTTTCCCTTTCCTTCTTTTTTTTTTTTTTTTTTTTTTTTTTTTTTTTTGTGAAAAAATAATTTCAACATTAACCAAATAAAAAGGCCAAAAGATACCAAGAGAAAATGTTGTGATGCCTATGACTACATGTGATCTCAGAGAGGGTAGCAACACCTAGGATAAACCTGCATCAGGACCAGAGATGTCTGCCTCTTGAAACCTGGCAGTGTTTTTATTTCTATGTCTTAGTTGAGAGTTTTAGACATCCCCGCCCCTAGGGATTTTACAAGGATGTTTAATGTTTATCCTGTCTCCATTTTCAAATTAAATTAACCTGACTTCTAGGTGTCTTACTAAATTTTAAAAACGGATATTTGTTTTCTCAGTGCTGCTCTCTAAGCAGTGATATCTTATCAGCTTTTTCGTCCTCTGCTGTGCTATGAATCTGGGGTGATTTTGCTCCTCTGGGGACATTAAAAAGGTCAGAAAACACTTTGGTAGGGAAGTGGGAGAACTCTTACTGGCATCTAGTATGTGGGGTGCAGGGATTCTGCTACATTCTATGCACAGATCCACTGCTAGGAGAGAAAATGAAAAAGGTTTAATGATGCTTCAATTTAGAAAGCCTATTATATGTAGTTTTATTGTATCAAGTGCGGGAATAAAATGTCACCTTCACCTTCAGCATCCTCATTTACATAGCCACGACTTACAAAAATACATGGGTTAGGGTAGCTTGTTGATAAGGAATTATGCTTCTGAGGTTACTCATATATGAATAGTTGCCAGTTTCTCTCTCACATATGTGTTACAAAAATGGCATCACGTGTGACTGGGTTATGTAATTCTTTGTTTTTCTTTTAAGCACTTAAATATAAATCCACTCGAACGAATAAGAGAATCATTCTGCTGCTGGTCGCTGGGCTGGTGCTCACTGTCATCGTAGTTGTTGGAGCTATTCTTCTCATCCCTGGTAAGAGGCTTGGGTATTGGGATCAGGGCTTCGGGGCTGATGTGAGAGGCATCCCAAGAGGTCGTGTATTGGTTTATAGGACTGTTGTGAAAGATTGTGGCAAATGATGTGGTCTCAAGCAATAGAAATTCTCTGAAGGACCTGGAGTCTCTCTCAAGCGCTGAAGTCCCCTCTGGGGAAGAGCCCTTGCCATGCCTGTTCTAGCTTCTACTGTTTACAGGCAGTCCTTAGAATTCCTGGGCTAGTAAAGCAGCCCTGTGACTGCCTGCTCCTGCCCTGTGTCCGCTGAGTAGTATGAGCTTGCTCTCCCTTCTCCCCTCTCCACTGACTCATGTCAGGAAGTAGGTACTCAGGTACTCACTCAGTTCGGGTAAGAGCTTCCTTCCACATCTTTGGCTTAGTAGCACATCTTTTCCCATTCAATATTCTAGTCCCATTCTGCCACATGAGGTAGCACCAGTAGTTTCTAGGAACAGGAAGGTGGGACTATAACCAGGGCCCCCAGTGTGTCCGCTGTGGAGGCAGGCTCCACTGGCTAAGATGTGGGGATGGACATGGACATGGGACTTATGTCTTTCTGAAGTAGTTAGTGCAGCTGAGAGATTGAAGTATGAACAGGACATAGTGGTGGAGGGCAGATGGGAAGAAAAGCAAAGGCCGGAACTCACCACGGCAGACTGCAGAACTCCTCTGCAGTTTCTTGGGGAGACAGCCGCACAGGAGCATCTTTAGAACAGATTTGGCAGCTGTGTTTACATCCAGGGCTGGGGAGGTGATGAAATCAGGAGACAATATGAAAGAGCACTTGATTTGGCTTGGGGACAGGCTGAATACTAGGGATGAATGGATGGTGGAAGGCGAGGGCAAGCTTATCATCTGGAATTTCATAAGGCAGTTAAAGACTTAAAGCTAAGTGCAGAGTTCAACACGTTGAGATACAAATCCTCTAGCTTGGCCTTAAATGTTAAAACAAGAATTCCTTGTTTTGTGTGCTTTGGTGGAAAACATTTCAAGCCTTTCCAGTGCATAATGTAGCATTGAGATTAAAACATTTAATAGAGTAAGTATGTGACTTCACAAAGAAGGAGGTAAGGAAAATATTTTAAATATATTTATTTATAACAGGAGAAAACCCTGTAAAGAGTGCTTCTGGACTTGGTCTCATTGTCATCTCTATAGGAACATTAATACTACTTCAGTACAATGTGTTTATGACCGGTGAGTATTTGTTCTTTTTGCTTTGTTTTGTTTTCCAAAACATGGTTTGAGTATTTGTTCTTACACTCTGATTTTTGCCTATTGATGTAAATATTCTTGTATGGTTTTAACAGTTCAATAAAAGTTGCTTTATTGTCCATTGTGTTCTTAACAGCGTTTCCCATACAGATTGATTTTTAGGCTGCTAGGTCTTCTCAATGATTATTTTATGAAAAGCAATTATCTTGCATATTTGATGGAATTGGCATAATTTTAAAGTGTGCTGTATAATTTTTAATGGTTATTTTCATATTCTAATTTTAATTTTTTTGTAGCTGTTAGTCAGTTTTCAAAGCAGTTTTTTTTTTCTTTTACTTAACCTTATGCAATAAAAAGATTGGTTCTAAAAGATGAGGTTACAAGTCACAAATTTTAGAAAAATATTTTCCTGTTATTGGCAATACTGAAAAGTATGGCTGTTGCAACTATAATCAATATCGTTTCTGTGCAGCTAGGGACATTTTTGTTATTGTTAAAGTGTCTCATTTATCACTGAGTCTTCGGTGCCTTGGTTGTATTTAAAGGTTAGTTAGAAAACCACAGCTCTTGTCCACACACACAGCACAGAGGTTATGTTTGTGTGTTATTTTTACCCCCAGAACAGTTGTGTGCATGTGATAAGCCATGCATAACAAGCCATTCATACTGTACAGTTTATAAACGTCACAACAACGTTGTTTCGAAAATTTGGTTTAAAAAAAAAAAAAAAAAGGAAAAGGAAAACCTTCCAGTCCCCCTGAGGTGACTGACAATAAAAGCTTGAAGAATGTGTGAATCTGGAGCTGACACTACTGTGGAAAGGTTAGCTGGAAAACATGCCATCTGATGAGGGACGGCAGTCCATCTTTGAGAGTGTCAGATGCCAGTAGGAGTAATTGCTGCATCAGTGTTCTCAACACGTTCCTATTGTGTCCTTTTTTCTCCCTCAGCTTTCGGAATGACCTCCTTCACCATTGCCATATTGATCACTCAAGTGCTGGGCTATGTCCTTGCTTTGGTTGGATTGTGTCTCTGCATCATGGGTGAGTCACACTCTTATGTTTCTGATTTTTGCTTCAGTTAGGTTAGAGCTCTTACCTCCTCTTCCCATTTGTCTTATCTTCTTAAAAACAAAAACAAACAAACAAAAAAAAAAACTGTATGGCCTTTTCTTTGAGAACAGTTGTGGATTCATAGAGAAACCTAGTGGAAAGTACAGAGAGTTACCATATGCCCTACCCTTTTTCTATTCCCCATCCACCCCCATCCCTTGGCATTTCACACCAGTACAGTGGGTGGACCAGCATAGAGACATCCTTACCAACCCAAATTAATAGCTTACATCATGGTTGGTTATTGGTGTCCTACAGTACATTCTGTGGCTGTGACAAATGTTCTATGATGGATATGCAGTGACATGTATGCCCATTGTGGAATCACATGGAATAACCCCCATTATTCTACTTGTTCATCTGTCCCTCTCCCTAACCCCAGACATCACTGACCTTTTAACTTTCCCCATAGTTTTGCATTTTCAGAAATGCCTTAGAGCTATATTTATAGTGTGAGAATTGCCCGAGTCTTGTCCCCACATAGTACAGAGCTCATGCTTGTGCCTTTTCACACAGGCTTCCTTCCTTTTTAAATAAGTCTTAAGTTTCATCCATGTCTTTTTTTATAGCTTGATAGCTCATTAGTGCTGAAAAAAATATTGTTGCCATAATGTGTTTAATATTTTGCATTCACCTACTGAGGGGCCATCCGGGTTGCTTTCCTCTTTTTGTGACAGATGAATAAAGCTACAGTAAACATCAGTGAGCATGTGTTTGTGTGGATATAAATTTTCAGCTCTAGTTGGCTGAATACCAAGGGCTGTAATTTTTGCATTGTGTGGTAAGGTACAGCTAATTTTTTGTAGCAAACTGGCAAACTCTTGTTTGGTAACACTATCAGGGAGCGATGAGTTTGTATCTCTGCATATTTTTCAGCATTTGGAATTGTGAGCCTTTCTTTTTCAACACCGCCCCCATAGATGCACACAAATATACTCACATATATAAATAAATAGTATTTCCCCCTTTGTAACAAGAATGTTGCCTATGTATGGCCTGTGAGATGACCGTTCTAACAGTCCAACTATGGTGCCCATATTTGTGGGAGAACTTGTCAAATGACCAGCCTGTATTCAATTGAAACCTTGGACTTTACACACTATTTTTCACTAATCTTGATATGATAAGGGTACACTATGTTAAAATGTTTTGTTTTTTTTTAATAATTAAGCTATTTGTTAGTAATAAAGATGTTCTTATATAGTATACGTGTGGGTGAAGTTTTTACTGATCATTAGAATAAGAAATACTGTCCTTAAAGCTGATGTATGTATGCCAGGGTGTAAATCAGCTGTAGCACCATTTGCCTAGTATGCAAATCGACAGACTTGGGAAGGTAGCACCAACAAATACACCAAAAGAAAAAAACTTTACATTATTAGTTATTGTTGATTCTTTTAAATTAAAATTTGTTTACTCTATATGCATTTCTAACAAAATTTCATTTGTTTTACAGCTTGCGAAATAGTGCATGGCCCCCTTTTGATTTCAGGGTTGGGTATCATAGCTCTAGCAGAACTACTTGGACTAGTTTATATGAAATTTGTCGGTAAGTTAATCTTACTTTTTAAGCTTCTGCAAAGAATTTCAGATATATAACTCTACTGATGTCTCCAAAAATGGGAAAATATGATTGGAGAGATGGCAATTAATGAGGGAGGAGGCATGTGTATTCATGCAGTTTGAGTTGCAAATTAAGAAAGAAAGTGGCTTTGTACATTACAAAGTATAGAACTTATTTTTATAACCAAAAGAAGACACCTTTTAAATTATTATGAAAGGTCCATTCTTTGTTCCAGGATCCCCTTGTAGAGCTCTTTGTCCCTCTATTCTTTGTGTGCACTGCTTACACACAGAGACGACACCCCTGAGGGGACAGAAACTGAAAATTAAAACCTGTCACATATATAATTTAATGTGCGATGACTTCCAATGTACTACTTTAAAAACACTTCCAGTGAAAAAACAGTATATTAAAAGAGATCTTTAAATTCAAGATTTTACTGCAATTAAAATCAGTTTTTGGAAAGTGTGGACTTGCACTCACCATTTGGTGTTTAACCGCCAGTCTCAACTCTGGGATTCTGCATTCTTATTGTGGACATGTATACACAGAGACGTGTACTTTTTGTGGTATCTGAACTAGAATGTACCTTACCTAAGCCACACCTGTCCCCAGCCATATCTATGTAAGTCTCCCTTAGTTTGATTTATATATATATATATATGTATATATATATATATATATATACACACACACACACACACACACACACACACATACACATACATACATACGTGTGTGTGTGTGTGTGTGAAATACAGCAAATTCAAGAAAATCAAAATTTAAGTCATTGAACAAATCAGTATTTCCAATGTGCTCACAGATGAATATTTTCTAAAAATTAATACAAAAGTTTATTATAGTCAATAAATGTTTCATACTATTTATATAAGACTTTCAAGGCAATTTTGCCTTTACTTCCAAACTTCATTTCTTAATTTCTGATCATGAAATTTGACGTACTATATTGTGTGTGTGTGTGTGTGTGTGTGTGTGTGTGTGTGTGTGTGTGTGTATTCTTTGGTTAATGTTTTTATGTAAACAATGAAAATACTCCAAAGTCTACCTTCCTTTAGTTTTTCGTGTTCATAAGTATTGGTTGTTGCTCACTGAATTTTCCTGACACTATACCACATAAACCCACAGAACACAACCAAAACATCTGTAGCAGGCTGGCGCTCAGGAGTTGACTCTGATGCTTCTGATGCATATTCTATTTTTGTTAGTCTTCCAATCAGCCTGTGTCTGGACTTGAAGGCTGACACTGCTGATTTTGTTGCTCCCATGAATGCTAAGAACAGTATGTGACCTGCAGTATTCATGTAACCCCAATGCACCAGGAAAAGTGTCTCTGGCTGATGGTCAGCTCTTTGCTCTTATTTTTTCCTCTCTATCTGGAAAGCATCCTTTTGTTCCCAGGTTTCCATAGCTGATCATGAGTGATGCCAGTGTAGCTGCCATGAGAATTCCCAACATGCAGTGGCTGACTTCTGCCTCTGCTCTCAAATTTACTCCATGGCTTATGTCCCTGTGAAGCCTTAAAGCCATTGTAATTGCACATTATTGTGGTAAAGGTGAAATCAAAGTACCCAAAGTTTTTTATCATTATGATAGTTTACTAGATGAATATATTATATATAAGTTAAGAATTTAGCCCAGTTTTATTGACATTTTGAGACTATCATAAATTAACTTTTCAAATCAACTTGTCTGACCCCAGAGTGGAGAGAGACACCTTCGGTCAGTTGAAAAGCAAGAAGAAAAGGTACAGGATGGCTGCTTTTCAGATACTGTGGTAGACTAGGACAATGAATGTGTTTTGCTTATGTGTTCTGACTGTATAAATCTGAACATATGCAGATTAAGGCTGCAAATTTGAGCGTTTTTATCAGGAAGTGAAAGTTGTATTTCCAAAATAATTCCTGATCATTGCAGACACCATTGTAGAAGTGGGTGACTTTTGATTTAAATGCAATAAAATTCTCACATACTTAAAAAAAAATAGTTCTCTTTCTAAAGGGAGTTAATGTCCCTGTGAGAATGATAACTTATAGTTTTCATTATTTCTGAGTTTAAATTTGTAGCCTTAATTGCAATTTTAAGGGATATGGTTTTAACTTTTGCTTTCTATGGCAAAATATAATTTTTAAATTATGTTTTATTTTTTCTTATGAGAAGGATTTTAATTTTATGAAGTCAGAAAATTATAATAAGTTAATATGAGCACATAAGAAAGATTAATGGGAGCTAACTATGCTCCCTAAAGCAGAGCCATTTCTGTGAAGGGCACCTGAAGCCATTAGTCTATATGGCACAAGAGTTGTTTCCAAAGCCATTACCACTCAGTGCAGTATATGAGCAGGTATAACCATTGTGGTTCAAATCAACTTGGCCGTAATCAGAACCATGCCTGCCACCACATCCCAGATATTCTGAAATGATACAGAAACACACATATATTGTGTGTGTGTTTATTCAGATGCATTTCCTTGTCCATTGTTTATAAGCTATTCATAAATCACTAGAAAAAACGTTCTTGAGGAATTGAAAGCCAGAAACTATATTTATGGCCTGTAGTCAGGTATTTCAGAGTGAGAGCAACATACCAAGAATCATTACAAGACTGAAAGCAAATGTGTGGAGGAATGCTTAAAACTTTTGATTAAAAAAAAAAGGTTAACTGCCAATGCCTCTTGATGATGCCAACTGCCAACACATGATAGGGACAAATCATCCCCATTCTTTATCACATGATTTTTATCCCCACTAGAGAATTAACTCAGATACAATTAACTCTAGTACAGCTAGTTCTATAACATCGAAGGATGGTGATTTACTAGTGTCCTTCATAGCATATAGTGTGCCTATAGTTCTGTTTCAGAATGAGCTAGGCAAATCAGACTTGAAAATGAGAGCTTAGCAGCCACCATGTGCTAGTGTGCTAGTGGAGAGGATGGTAGAAGCACGACAGAACACTCTTTAGTGCTATTTACAATGAACACATTCATGAGCATGAATATAACTTTAAAATGTTATGCAGTATTTCTGGGGAGATAAAAAGTCTCCCCTTCCCGTATAGAAAAACAATGGCAGATGAAAACAGGGAGAGCCTCCAAATCCAAATTGGTGAACCAGTGAGTGAGTTTCATTGGGGTTACTTTCAGGATCAGGAATGTCTCAAAATCAAAACCAGCATGGGTGACAAACACCCAGTGAAAACTGGGACCCTACACAGCCTTTGGGCAGCTCAGTGGGTTGGAGTATCCTGTGCACTTAGCTCAGTTGATCCCAGCTCCTCCCAGGCAGCTCAGAAGACCTGCTTCTTCCAGGTGGCTTGTTTGGGCAGAGTCTCTTTGAGGCAGCTCCGCCTAAGAGTGATTCCCAGAAGTCTTTGATGCTCATATCAGCATGCAGAGGGAGGAGCCTAGTGAATGTAATTATTTTTGTGGACTGCCAGAGCAATTTTGATTTTTTTTACTCCTTGAACTGAGGAGCTTCTCTGTGGGATGGTGGGAGTTTTAAATCTAGAGGGAACACAACACCCTTCCTATTACCAATCAGATATTTAGATAGCTCCTTTACTTTATATACAGGGGGTGGTACTTGTAAATTGTACATTCAGTGTCTATGATAGTCCTTCAGAATATTCTAGCTCAGCTAAGTTTATTAGGGCTGCTGTGGTTTATCTCAATTCACTTCACTCTCTATCTCTCTAAAAAGAGGTTGGCTACCTTTCTGTTTGAATGCAAGGAACAAACCCTCCCTGGGTGTCAGCACAGTGAGGGTCATTCATTTGAAGCCACCATGGTTCTCACAGGACATAGGGCTCATGAGGACAGGTACATAGATGGGTTCACAGAGTAGGCTAGATTGCAGTTTAGGTGTTGGTAGGACACAGCACAATGGTACCATCCCATTCCTCTCAGCATAGAGCACTGGCTGATGCTCATTTGTCCCTTACAGTCACTGGCATCCTGCCCTGCCATCTTCATTGTTAGCTATCTTAACTGCACTCTTAAAGATCCCTATTTTATTTTTTCAAAATTTGATTTATATTTCATTTTCATTAGTCAGTCATGTCCATTATATAAAACTTAGAACTCAGCAGTAATTTACAGTATCATTGCTTATGGTGAGTGAATTAATTTAGAGCAGCTTGGGAAGAATATCTCTACTGAGATATTTATATATTTATCAGAGTCAAACACTGTGTTTCTGTATGTATGCGTGTGCACATGCGCACATACGCGTGCGCGCGTGTGCGCGCGCACACGCGCACACACTCCTGTAAATTTATAAGCACAGCCTGCTGGGTTCATTTAGTGTTGCTCATACCTATATCTGTTTCTGTCTGATTCCTTGGGATTTGGTCATCTAGCAGAAGCCTTATCCCCAGAGAAGACTGATCTTCCTTCTCTCAGCAGTCATGAGATGCCTGTAGCTCTTAATTTAGGCAAAAGCCTGTAAGATTTCTCTCTTCCATGTTGTCATGCCAACTGATAACTGTCATTGTGCAGGTCCAGTTTAAGCAACCATATTGTTGAGATTTCATGGGTGCAACTTCCCTGTCATATAAAAGACACTATAGGCAAGTGTCATTACATAAAATGGTGCAGCAAACATCCTAGTCACCTGATTTTACAGTCTTTCTGCCTCCTCTCCTTTGATGTTTGCTAAGCTGCATACTAAGTTGTAGGCACAGGCATTATGTTGTAGATGAATCAGTAGAGGTTGAGTACCCAGTAGTCAGTTGTCCTTTGTTAAGCTGTAGATTTAAGGATTATGTTGTAGACAATCAGTGGAGATTGAGCACCAGTGTTCTCTGCTAAGATGTAGGTATAGGGATGAAGCTAAATTGTTCTCTGCTAAGTTTAGGCATAGGGATTATGATGTAGATGAATCCCTTGAGGTTGAGCACCCAATAGTCAGTTGTTCTCTGCATATTGACCAGACTTTCCTTTCTGTAATCACCTCCATTTGCTTCAGAAAGAAAGTTCTTTGATGAGAGGTGGGAACCACATTTATCTTTGAGTATAAGGATTATCGTTTAGAACAGTTTTGCTTAAGGAGAATTGGCAATAGTCAGTTCTCTTCTAGTTTTTATTTTTTTCCTCTTCTAATTCTAGTGGTAATGTGGTATTTGGTGGCCTGTCAGCTGCAGTTTTCTTGTTTGAGAAAGCCTGGTCCCAGTCCGCTTTAGAAGCTTGCTGAGTCTGCATGGGCAGGGCAGGGGATCTTGGCTGTCCTTGGCTGATCTTTGTCTGCTAAGCCAGTAGGATTTCAGTGGAACTTAAAAGCCCTAACCCTGTTTCTCAGAAGTCCACATGACTTGGAAATGATTCTGCTTCACGCCCATCTTAAGACTATGTTATGCAATCTTCTGTTGCTCTCTGAATGTTTGTACTGTAAAAATTATTTTGAGAAGTTTGGATTTCTTGAACTGAGATAGGTGGTGGAGTAGGAAATTATAGCTAGTAGGAAAGTATAGCTAGTAAAAGAATAGTGAGTCACTGAAAGAATGTCGCTGGTCATGTTTCCCATGTCTTTGGGATACTGGCCATGTGGGAAATTCTGTCTTTGGTTGCTCTATGATTTCCTGGTTTTATGTGAACGTTTTCTTTCTTACCAATCCGAAGTTGTTCTTTTTCCTCTTGTCATTTAGTTCATGCCCCCTATTCCTGAATCTTCATTAGCTGATCTTTTCAGAAGCAGCAAAGGGAGCAACTCAGAATGTTAAGGAGGAATACACAGAAGAGACCCTGGTTGGTCTGAAGTTAACTTTCTTGGATGATTCTAAGCTGGGCAGGATCATCATGTTTTCTTTTTTTAGTCTGTTAGCTGTCCAGAGCTTTGAAGACTGGAAAGAAGAGAAAGGAAGAGAAGGCTGCTAGACTAGGAATGAGAGCAGGGTGCTAAGGTCTTCAGGGGAAGTTACTCATTGCCACATTCTGTTCCTCCTGGTTGAGAAATAGCAGAGAGGAGACCCTGCTAGGACAGGGTAGTTGACAACATCTTCTAGCATGATGAATAACAGGTGACTGACATGAGAGAGACACATGCACATGACCAAGTCTGTTTATGTTGCTATAGGCATCTTACTGGCTTCCTCTCTCCTGTCAATGTATGTGATCAAGAGTCCTCTGTAGTTTTCGAACAGACCATGAAAGCTAGAACTCCTTTGCCAGAGCTTTCTGGTCTTGGTCCTTAACATGTTATCTTAAACTTAAGTATTTTATTGCTTTATTTACCTTACTTATTGAATTTATATTGTTATTTATACCAGCTTCCAACCAGAGGACTATACAACCTCCTAGGGTAAGTTCAAGCTTATTAAATTAATTAAGAATGATTGTTTGATGGATTAAAATGAGGGGTTGGTAATTGGAATATTGAACGCTTTTGGCTCTCTGCTTAATGTGACATGCAATTAAGATGATGTTGAAGCCATCTTGGGACCTGTGCCTGAATGGCCTTATTCTGTTGTAAGACTTGGGACATTTCAATACCTATGAGATAGGAGAAATGATCCTGTAAGATAGTACTCAGTTTATATATCCAGAATTTGCAAGTGTCTGAGAAGGAAATTGATCCCAGCATGTCTGCCCACATGTTGCTTGACATGAATTTATAGAATGGCAGTTTCAAGCATGACATTAAGGAAGAGAAATTTGTGCTAAACTGACTTCATTTAAAAATATAGTTTAAAAAATATTTAGTTTCCAAGGTATATGTTGTTGAAAGAAAAATCTGTTCCAAATAATGACTCTCCAGTTTTACTAGCACTTTCCCAAAAGTATACTACAAGTTTCATTGTATCTGCCTGCCTTCATAAGTTCACTGGGGAAATTCTAAGAAAAACAGAAAATTCAGGAGGAGACATATGAGGTGGGGGGAGGAAAAAAAAAGAATGAAACTACCGTATTGACTCATCACAGTGGCAGGTCTGAGAGTTCTTACCTGAGCTCTGAAGGGGACTGTATTGTAGTCATCTTCCTGTAAATGACAACTGACAGATAAATCGGGCATCCTCAAAGGACACACCCAAAGGGCAGGCAGGGGCACAATGTGTTAACTTACTTCAGCCTTTTATTCTGAAGGCACTGGAGTCATAGCTACGTTAGTCACAAGCAGCAGTTTTCCTGGTGCCTCTTAGAGATAACCTGACCAATGGACCGTTAAATTTTAACAATTTCTTGCTGTTACTGAGTTCAATTTGCATGATGTGAAGATGATTTCGCTTTGCTACCATCTCGTATTTAACTGTATTTTCTGTTACTGCAATTTGCATGTTTGTACATTAATACTTTCATGAGATTTCTTGAACTGAGAATGGTGGGTGGAGTGGGAAATTTTGCACAGAAAAAAATACTAAGAGAATAATATGGTTATTATTAAACTATTAACTAGCCTAGGGAAGGGAAGCCTTGTTTCATTAGCTTTTGATGTCTTATTTTGCTTTTAGAGCATAAGAGTCTCCGCTTATAAGTGCAATGATAGTGTAAGTTTTTAGCATAAAAGACATAGAATAGTGTATATTTTATGTAAATATATTTTAAATATTTTCCAGAAAGCTGTAGAGGAACCTCTTAACGGTATGTGATTATTATACACTTAGTAGTCTTGATCAATTAGCAGATGATAATTTGAACTGATCCTCAAAGACGTTAGAATGCCCACCTGTGCCTTGGGGAAGAATCTAGTTTGGGAGTGTTTGTTTGCTTGCTTTATTGTTCATGTGTTCTCTTGCCTTGATCTCTTGATTCTTGATTATCCATTAGAAACTGGTAGTATTGCCTTTGTAATGTTCTTTCTGTCCTGTGCTATAGTAGTTGTTCAATTTAGCAAAGTGACATTTGGGCAAGGGGACCATTGGCCTTTCTATACTAGACAAGTTGAAGTATCACACCCACAGTGAAGAAAAATTTCAGTGGCTTCGAATTTCTAATTTGTCAGTTTTAGAAAAATACAGGTTGCCACCATGGAGTGATGATACCAAAATGTTTCATCTACTTTCTATGTAAATCAAGATCTGTATACCTCAATAAGTCTGTTTGTTTTTGTGGATGCTGTGGGTGTGAGCCCTAGAAATGCATTCCAGTGAATGATACCTGCAAAGGAGTCTAGCTGTCTAGTTGAGGAATAGTTGGTATTGTGTTGTTGCATATTTGCTTATTTTGAGATTATTTCTAACTGTGAAATCATACTAACTTGCCTTTCTACTAATTGCCTGCTTGTTACTAATCCTTAGCATTTAAAGAATCAAAAGGAATGATGAATGATGGTAAGTATAAAATTCACCTGCCGTTGTATACAGATTGATGCATGGACATTAAAAAGAAAGCAGAGAGCTTCTTGAAATTACAACTTTTTAAAAAATAAAAGGGATACTGATACTCATGAATGTCCATATTTCTTGATGTTTAAAACAGATCTCGTTTGTTGTTCTTTTCTTTCTTTTACCTACCATGCTATCATTTTTCTGTAGGTAGGTAAGAACAAAAACTTGCAGGATCTCACCAATAGGAACCTCCTGGCTCCACAGCTGAGCAGTTGCCACCTTTGATACACATGTTTCGGGTTTAGTGAGCCTTTAAAATGCTTTTCTGAGGTGTGCATATACTCTGGCATAAGTTTGTCTCACCTTGATAGGGTTTCTTTTATTCTCATGGAGATGATTTTGTCACCCATGACACTGGGAATGATATGTCCACTTTTCCAAGCAGGAGCTTAATTCCAACATTGTGGGAAAGGATTAAAGAGAAACAGAGACTTCCTTACTTCCCGAGCCTTTCCCTCTTTTCTGAACACCAGCTCAATAGCAACATATGCTTCCTGAATATGCCCAACATATTTACTTGTTAATCCTAACCCAAGAAGCCTGTGATCCACTTTTTTTTTTTTAACATTAATATGCTATGATTCTCTAGCTCCATGGGCATTTAGGAACTACATTGGTATTTTTATCCTGTTTTCAAAAACGTCTTCACAACATTAGTACTTGAAACTATTCCTTGCACCGTATTTTGCTGTTTTAAAGCCTGTGACCTGCTGGTTCAACTCCATAACAAAGAACTTCGGGGACACAGGAGGCCATCTTCCCCAGAGCACAATTAACTTCTACATAAGATTAAAAACACTTCGATCATGTGTAGGGTGAGCTAAATTTAAAACAGTGCTCAGGCATGTGTTTAAAGGGAAGTCCAGAATGGTCCCATAGTTACAAGCTTTTGTCATAGCTTTTAAACGTGTGTTTCACTACATGAGCCACTGCTTCCTAAAAATAGTGTTTTTAATGGGAATAAGTGGAAAGGATACCAGGATTCCCGGCATGGTTTTATGGTGTTTGCCCTCTGTCTTGTTTTCAAATATTCAGTTCTTTTGCCCACCAAGCTGCCATGTTTATGCAAGGGGATTAACACACACACACACACACACACACACACACACACACACACACACACTTTTCTCCATTTGTAGAAAACCAATATAAAAACCTTCAGTGCCTCTTTGTTAGTCTTCTTTAAAATGTGACTTCTTTAAAATGTGGTAGCATAGAGAACTATGGTTTTGATTATTATTAATTTTTTTTTACATGTTTGTGTAGCATATGAGGTCTGTGATGACCTTGGAAAAGACCTGAATTTTGGCCACATTTAGCTGATCACAACTTGTTTTTTTAAGTATCTATTGAGGAGCACTGTCTTCTAACATCCACTCAAGGCTCATGATGTGCCTTGTCTCACTGAGTGAGGTTCAAGGTGCCATCAGCTTTACCTATGCCAGATCACAAGTCTGTTTCACTTAGATTTACTGAATGGTGTAAATCGAAGAAAGTGAATGTGATAGAATATTATTCTTGGATCAATAACATCTCTTGCTTTTTGTCAAGTTGACCCAGCAAACCAAGATTATCAGTCTGCGTTGATTTTATTTTCATTTGTCACTGGCATATTTTACTTAGCAAAGCAAAAAGGCTAGTGATTTGCCTGATTTCTCTCTGTGACCTTTACAGATATGTTCTCATTATATTTGATATAATATATCTGAAACAGTTTCACGTTTAGAAACAGATTGTGTCTTAATACACTGGAAGTAGACATCAGGAGTGATGAAATGTCAACGCTTCTATTTTCCAGAGTAAGTGAGGGGAAGTGATGAACCTGGAGAGTCAGAAGTAAAGGAATACATTTGTGTTTAAGCACCATGGCCTTGCTGACTCAGCTGGGAAGAAGAAAATAAGCAACAGTAACTGACTTTTCATCTATGAAAGAACATGTCATTGACCCATAGATGATTATTACAGTTAAGTTTATATTCAAAGCAGCTGTGATTTACTTAATAAAAGAATTATAATTGTGTTGTGTAACCAATTGAAATCCATTTTTCTATTGTTTCTACTCAACTAGGGGCAGACATTTCAGGGGCAACTTCCAAGAATGACACTTGCTAGATCCTTGAGTCTCTGGACACTGGGTTTAAATCAATTCTGGATGAGATGTACCTACCATTAACCTGATGGCTATCCAGAGATACCTATGAAAAATAGTGGTATCCAGCAAGCCTTAGTAAACTCAGGTTCCCAGCAGCTCTGTCACTCATGCTGCTAGCTGAATATCATGACTGTCACTGCCAGGTCACAGGGATAAAGAGTGAAGTAGACAAATGAGTCTGGTGGACAGATCCTGTCTGCCCCCTATGTGTGCTATGATATTGACGGCACTAATGCCTTCATTCTTGGGGGTTGCCTCCACTTACACTCTCCCTTTGACATAAAGTGCATCCTGATTTTGAATTTTTTTTAATCGATGTGTTTTTCTTTTTCTTTCTTTTATTCTTTTTTTTTTTTTTTTTTTTTTTTTTTTTTTTTCTTTTGCACATGACCCTTTTGCACCCTGTCCTGTCCTGCTTCTTGCGTTTGAGGTACAAGATGGAGTACCCTTTCTCCTCTTCAGACATGGGCCCGTGACACAGTAGTGTCAGTTGCAGAATGGAGCCAGACTTATTCTCCAAGCACTGTGCTCACTCATACTTTTCAGAAAAAAAAAAAAATAGCTATGGTTGTAACATATGTATTCCAGACCTCTGGTTTGAAGGCAAAATCTAAGGTGTTTCTTCCCATGTTTTCTGATTGGAGGCATGACAAAGCAAGACTGAAATCTGAACTATGCGTCTCCTGCATGGCAACATGTGTCTCCATCAGGGCCCTAGCAAGGCCAGGGGAGGAGGTTTTACGCCTATTGTCTCTTTGTTGCATGATGAACACTCATCACCTTCCTCCTGTATCCTGCCTCCTGCCTCCTCCTCTTTCCCTAAGTTTGAAAAGTAAAACAAAGCCACCCCATTCCCTACCCGGTTAGCAGAAAACCAATGTCCTGACAGTTGTGATCGCATGGAGTACTTTTAGATTATTAGCACTTGTTTTTACCTCGTTTGTGGGCGTGTTTGTATGTGCACATGTATAAGGTAGGCACATGCATCTTCTGTATCCACAAAATTGAGTCATCAACAGAAGAGCAAATGCTGACTTTGTGCTTTTAGTAAATACATTTACAAACAAAGGTCCTTATTGGGTGGAATTATATTTGATGCAAATATTTGATCTTTAAAACTAGGTAATGTGCCAAGCTTTTTTGACTGCTCACCAGTGCCCTCTTAAAAAAAAAAAAATACCAGTAATGTTTCCTGTTTGTGTAACAAGGCATTTGTATTTGTGTTTGCATTACTAATGGTTATTTCTTCTAGTCCACTGAATGTTTCCATGTGCCTCTTGTATGCCAAATTTATTGTCATCTTTCATGTGGGGACCAAGTGGTTTGTTCATGGCAAACCTAATCATAACGACCTACTGAGGCCTCTCAGAAAACTGACCATACTACCAAGATAGTGCTTCTAAAGAAAAGTAGGTTTCCTCCCTGATTTTGTAGCTGTTCAAAGTATTTGTGTATAAAGAGGGAGCAGGATGTCTGTATACAAACCCGATGGCTCCTGATGCTTTCCTTTCTCCTTCTGAAAATATTTAGACTTTGCTCATATTGTTGGTTACTTTGAAGTCAGTTTTGATGAAGAGAGAGAGAGCAAAAGGCAGATGGACTTGGAACAGATCCAAATTTTCCTTCTCTATTAAAAGAGTCAGGTGTGAAAATCTTTATAGTCAAAAAAATTTTTTTAATGAACTAAAGTTGTACCTTTTAATAATATGTAGTCAATGCCCCTCTGCTCGGGGTTCAGTCTTGGGTCTTAACCAACTGTCATGTTCTCTTTGCTGCCTGCCATTGGAGGCATTGAGTGCCCTAGACAGTACCACTGGTGATAGCCAGGGAAATATAGGATGAATTCAGCTCTTGTTCTTAGATACCAACTTCTCTGTATAAGGAACTACAGCAGCAAAGAGTGCTCGTGCCTGGGCAGTATTGGGCCAGTTCACCCTCTTTAAATCAAACCCACAATGGCTCCCAGCTCTCATCCTAGCAGATTTAAATTGCTAACAATATTGTGGGCTACATGCATCTGTTTTGCCCCACAAAATGTTTTTTCTCTCTGATCCCAATTTCTGCTGCCATTATTCTCTATTTGGTTTTTATTTACTGTCTGCTCTCCATTTATACAATAGTATGGAGTGATGCCATTCGTCATTTTCCGCAACACTTTTTCCAGCCTTTATGGCTGAGTCCCATTTTTCTTCTCTTTCAAATCATTGTGCTTCAGCCCTCACCCGTCACTGGCTGTATTTGGTAACCTGTCCCCATCTGTCTGGGGCCTCTCTCATCTCTCACTTACCCTTCCTGGTGCTTCATGTATCTCTGCTTAGCTCTGTTGGGTTTTTTGTTTGTTTGTTTGGTTGGTTTTTTTTTGTGTGTGTGTGTGTGTGTGTGTGTGTTATTCTCACTGAACTTTAAAAATTCCTTCCAAAATAAAAGTGTGGCTTCCCTTTCCTCCCTTTCTGCCTGTGGTGTTCTGCATACATTAGTAAATACTCAGTACAGAAGTTTGATGGCAAGAGTTTCCTGCACTTAGATTCTCTTTTTTAATGGGGTAAGCTAGAGTTTTTCTCTCTTTATTTTTCTTTTTGTTTCTTTATTTCTATTTTTGACAAATTTCACATGCTTTGAAAATTATAAGAGACTAAGTAAGGATGATTCACCTGAAAATTCCAAGTCTGGTCTGTTGAAATCATTCACAATATCAGACTAAAAGTCATGGGGTTGTATCTACATAATAGGCTTTCTTTCGGGATGTTATAGTCAATATAGTGGCAAAATTGTGTTTGAGTTATTAAAATTGGGAAAGTGATGCATTCACTCTGCTATTATCTCATTAATAAGAGTTCAGCTGTATATCATTGTCTAGATTTATCTTGTCTTACAGTGGGTACTCAAAAATGTCCTCCACAGGGCGTGTAAATACAGGCACCTGTTTGCCTGATGTTGGGAACTAGAGGGGAAAAAAAAAGTCTGGCAACACTTTGTCCTTTTACTGTATTTAACTGAGGCTTTATTTAGAGATGAGTGTTAAAAAAAAAAAAAAAATCTCTTAATCGCCACACCCACTAGGGGTCTTGTTAAGTCATCTTCTGTGGCTAAAAGGGATGGCCCAAGTTAACTTCAAAGAGATGAGCTGTACCCAGGAAATTGTCCTGCCTATGACTTTGATCACCCTTCATTATGACCGTTCAATAGCGAGTTTTCCACATGTCTAATATTTGGAGGAAAAGAAAGGGCATTTTTAGTAAGCCTCTCTATAAGATGTCAGTGGAGTTTTCAGGGTGTTTGTCATGATGGATGACAGAAGAAAACATTTTTGATTTTTATTAAACAGAGTATTATTTACAGAAAGCCATTGTTGAGAATTAGTTCCCACATCATATAACTGTCCATTAACCACTCTAAATTGTAAGAGGACTCCAGTATTGCTATGTGCAAGGTACTCTCCTGGGGGCCTTTTAGCATAGCAATTAAAGGTGTACTATTTGTCAGTAGCCATTTTTTTGCAGTAATTTAAAGACCAAAGTTGTTTTACAGCTGTGTTACCCTTAAAGGTTTTTTTTTTTTATGTATTAAATCAATTTATCACTGTTTGAAGCTTTGAATACCTGCAATCTTTGCCAAGATACTTTTTTATTTAAAAAAAAAACTGTGTAAATATTACCCTGTAATATTATATATACTTAATAAAACATTTTAAGCTATTTTGTTGGGCTGTTTATGTTGCTGCGACGGCAGACCACAAGCACATTCCTGAGAAATTTTGTTTTTAGTACATTTTTATAGTTCCAAAAACTCTATGTAATAGAAAGGATGTATATAAATACATATATGTGTGTATGTGTGTGTGTGTGTTATTTTTCCTTATTTTACATATCCTAGTTCCCTCTTCCCATGCCCCTTCCCATCCCACCCCACCCCCACCCCACTCCACAGGGAAGGTGATGCCTTCCAGAAGGTATTATCATCAAATCTGTCAAGTCATTTGGAGTAGGGTCTAGGCCCTCCACCCTGCCTCTAGGCTAAGGGAGTATCCCTCCAGGGGGAATGTGCTCCCAAAGTCTAGGAAGGATGATTTTTTAAAAGGGATTTTTACTTAATAGTTTATGTATAATCAACATAAGAATCTTCAGAGTTTTAATTAGAAGTTTAAAACAGATGTGTGTCATGGGTGTAAACATCGTGAGAAAAGGAGGTCCTAGGTTCTAGTCCTGGCGTTACTACTTGCTAGCTAAAGACCCCAGAAAAGCACTTGGCCTGAAGGGTAAGACTAGCCCCTGCCCAAACTGAATTGTATGGTTTTCCATTTTAATTCTTCCCCCGTTAAGCTATTTTGATTTTAAAGAGAACTCAAAATCTAAGTGGGAGTGCAGATCTTTTGGCCAATGTAACCTGAAAATTCAGCTGTTACAGCTGGAGGCTGGACCTCTGAGCTAGTCAAGGGGTTGGGATCCTTCCTAGTTCCGTGTGACAATAATGTACATATCAGCTGTGTGTCTTACTGCTGTGATGAAATACTTTGATGAACTCAACTGAAGGAAGAGAGGGTTAATTGGGGCTCAACAGTTTGTGACTTACAGTCCACCAAGGTGGAAAAGTCATGGCATCAAGGTCTTGAGGAAGCTGGCACATTGCATTTGTAGTCAGGAGCAGAGTTATGGATGAGTGCTATTACACAGCTTCCTTTCTCTTTATTCTCCACCCAGCAGTTAGGATGGGTCTCAGCCTAATTTAGATAACCCCTCACAGAACAGACACACCCGGAGTCTTACCTACTGGTGTTATTAACTGTCCCAATGTACCTGTCTTTTAGCCTCTGGGGCCAAGCATGTCTTGTTCTCATTTGGCCAGACCCACGTCCACACCCAGCCTACAACAGAGGCTGTGGGCTGTCTCTATGGTGCATTAACCCAGCTGGGAGTTGGAGAAGAGAGGGTAAATTCTCTTGAAGCAGAACTGGGTAGTTACCAGACAATTGAAGTCATTAGATTTGAGGCACAGGTTCCTGGTCAGTGCCACATCCCTTCAGGTCCTTCTTACAAGTCTACATTACATGTGTGATTGTCGACCATTTAAATGGAAAATAATATTTGGCAGCAAAGTACCATCTTGTTCCCTGCATCATAGGCAATTTAATTTCTATGCACTTAGGAGGACTTTCTCATTCTCAGCAGGAGTAACTAATGGAATTCAGAAAGCATTTAATGGCCTGCCTCCTGCCCTGAAAGCTGCTCCATGAAGCCCCGAACTGTACTCAGCCTGATTAGAACTCCCACTGGCGTGTAGGCTTCAAGCTCAACTGGGCTTCTCTTTTGCCTGGCACCTTTCCACCCAAGGCCTCACGTTTGACAACTTTACAAAACAATGGATTAGGGTAATATCTGAGGTGGCCCACTTGATGGTATTTGCCTTGTGGGAACTCACACAGCGGGCTCTTCTTGGTACTCACGTCCCACATCAGAGGAGAATGAAGTGTTGAACACCAAGGCACAGATAACAGGGTTGCTTATGTAGTGTTAAAGACAGCACAGTAGGCCACCTAGAAATCTAGTAGTTAATCAGTTGTGTGCAGTTGATGAGAAGACAACAGCCCTTCAGCAACATAGTAGCCAGCTATAGGGAACCAGATACCTTTACCCAATTTGGGTGTTAGTAAACATTTTTCAAATTACTATCCTGCAAATCTGAAGACTGAAGTATGGTATCAGTCTTGGTGACAGCGTGCTACTTTTGCAGCTTTTGTGATAAGTGCACTTGCTCTCTGTGGACAGGTGACGAACACTAGCATCGTAACAGGCCTTCTGAGAGGCTGTATTTAAAACAAGCTTATTTCATCATAGACCCATCTTCCAAACACACACACACACACACACACACACACACACACACACACACACACACACACTTTGTTCTTTGATACAGACTCTTACCATCAAACTTGCTCTGTAGACCAGGCTGACCTCTACCCTCATGATCTCTGTGCTTCAGCCTCCCATGTGCTAGAATTGAGTACCCACCCCAGCTAATTGCTATAGATTGCTTTCGTGTTGTCATAGGTACCTAAGAAATCCCTCCAGGAGGAAGGGACAACCTAGATGCTCTTAGGCTTTCTCAATAAATGCTAAGAGAACTCAGTCTTGCTGGCACTTTGCAGGAACAGGTGCTGATCACTAAGGTGAGAGTTCTGTGTGGACTATCCCTGAACCCCACTTCCTAGACAACCCTTTCTAGGAAGGCTTCCATACTCTCCTGGGAGTTCCACCCCCAGCTCAACTGGGAGTTTTCAGAAGGTAATGTTCATAAGCCTTTCATTTGCAAGTTAGCAGAGGTGTGTGTTTGATTACCTCCTTTCTTTACTCCATTGCCATATCTTGTTCATATCACAGTTGGATGGGCTGGATACATGTATAATCTTCAGTGTAACAATCACGGATTGACTAAAGCCAATGTTCTTCATCATATACCTATTGATGGAAGTGGTTCTGTTAGCAACTATTGCTAAATGTCACGGAACAGATTATCCTGGATCAGGCTGTAGATACCAACCCAGTATGCTTCTCACCTACGATGTGCGAAACCCAAGGTTTAATTTAATAGCCTCCTGGATCCTAAGTAAGAAAATATTTGAAGCATCCAAAAATAATGATTTTGCATATTTTCACATTTCCGCTCAAAGAAAGCTGTCCAACAAACTGTACAAGTTTTATGCTTTAAGTCCATTAACTGTGGGGCATTTAATTGCCTGAAAGAATCGAGCTTTAAAATTATACAAATTTTTCTTCATTCATTTTTTGATAGCCAGATGTAGTAAAATTGAATATTCTTATATTTGTGTGCCTTGGGGGAAAATGTTATATATGTATTTATAATCTTTAAGAGAAACATCTGACTAAAGGATTTGACTGGAATGGTTGGCCATATCCCATGCTTGGGCTTCTGGATACAACTGTGTTTGCTTCATTGTGTGGATAGACTAGTGTCTTAGTTAGGGTTACTATTCCTGTGATGAAAACACAATGACCAAAGGCAACTTGGAGAGGAATGTGTTTATTCAGCTTAGTATCCATAGCACAGTTTATCATCAAAGGAAGTCTGGATGGGAATCCGGAAGCAGGAGCTCATGTAGAGCCCAAGGAGGAGTGCTGCTTACTACTGCATGGCTCCCCATAACTTTCTCAGTCAGCTTTCTCTCTTCCTTTTTCTTTATTTTTTTTTAAGTTTTTTAAAATGTTTTGGATTTTTAAGATAGGGTTTCTCTGTGTAACAGCCTTAGCTGTCCTGGAACTAGCTCGGTAGACCAGGCTGGCCTTGAACTCCCAGAGATCTACCTGCCTCTGCCTCCCAAGTGCTGGGCCTAAAGGCATGTGCCACCACTGCTCAGCAAGAATCCAGAATCCAGAACCACCAGGCCAGCGATGAACACACACAAAATGGGTTGGTCCCTCCCCCATCAATCAATCACTAACAAAATGCCTTACAGCCAGGCAGTGGTGATCTCAGTGAGTTCCAGGCCAGGCTGGTCTACAAAGCAAGTTCCAGGACAGCCAGGACTGTTACACAGAGAAACCCTATCTAGAAAAACAAAAACAGGAAGGAAGGGAGGGAGGGAGGGAAGGAGATGATGCCTTTTGACTGGATTTTATCAAAGCATTTCCTCAATTGAGGTTCCCTCCTTTCCAGTGACTCTAGCTTGTGCCAAGCTGACATAAAACTATCCAGCACAACTGGACTCAGTAACAAGACCAGAAAGAGCAACTGGGGTACTCATAAGAGCCCAGTCCTGCTAAGAAGGACTTAGAACAGAGTCTTCTTCAGCTGGTGAGTGTCCAGGGAGGCCACTCACCACTCACCTGCCTTTGTGTGTCTTGATGAGACCCATGTTGCCATTTGTTGTTTCCTCGTGTGACTCCCTCTTACTCCTCAAAGGACAGGGAAGTAACTTCCCATGACTGTTGCTGTGCTGACAATGGATGGGTGGGTACAGAGAGAACAGCACAGTGCCAGGCTGACACCCCTGTACACAGCCTTCTCCAGCTCTGATTCATGCAACTGAGATGGGAAGGTTGATAGATTAATTTGTAACAAACAGTTGTTTTTCATGTCTCCCTGAGAGACAAAGCCACCACAATTTCTCTAGGTATAGAAAACAAATTTGTTTTGTAATGAAATGAGGACAAGATTCCTGAATTCTCACTTTCTAGGACCATGGATGCTGTGTAGATCAATTGGCCCTTTTCCTCCTGGGCATTTTAATTCTTCCAGCTGGAGATTAAAAAGAAGGGATGGTCTCTCTAGGCAAAAAGGGAGAGAGCAGCATGTGTTTTTCAAAAGACTCAGTAAGATAACAGATTTTTTAAAAAAGCTATTGCTGGGTATAACTTTACTGATAATTTCAAAGGACTTTTTTAAATGAAATCTTTGTAAGCAATAGTAAGGAGATGTAGAACTCCCTGTGGTGATGTTTAGAGTTCTGTCAGGGATTTAAATCTAATTATTAGCCTGGAAGTAGAGAAGAGAAAGACCTGGCTAAGTGTCAAATGGGAAACAATAATAGCCACGGTGGTACCCAGAAGCCTAGTTATCAGTGCCATAAAGGATGCCTCATCACATGTGTTGTCACCCTTGGAAGAAGGCCATGGCATCTTCAGTATCTCCTGATAATAGCTGCTTTATCTGTGGAAGAGGGATGCTTCCTATGTTCTCC